AAATAGATCCATTTGGGGCAGCAATTAAAGAACATATTACTAATTTCTGAGTCTCAGCTCCTGCCTTCCTAATGCTGGTTATTTTTGCCCATAAAAGCATTAATCCTATCTTCCTGTAAAAATGACATTTCAAGCATTCATCATCTTCCACTACTGTCCTTCTGCTCCTCTGCCTCACCATCATTAACCAGAGGCATCTGTTCTATGGTTTATGCAGTGTAATTTGTGACCACAGATCTGCAATACAACGAGAGTTATTTTCTCTGTAAGTAGCTGCTCAGAGCTGCAAAAATTTTTTATCCATTATAAAAAAAAAAACCCACACATTCCAAAAGTGTGTTTATTATGCAAGTGCCTTGTCATTACCTGAGAGAGTTATACGACCTTCCATTATGGTAAGAACCAATGTCCTACCCACAAAAATACATGAAACACAGACATGGTTTATGTTTTGGAAACTACATGTTGAGAATTATATTGTCACACTTCATAATTTCTTCCTAAATTGCTTTTTGTTTGGTTTGTTTGGTTTTTTTTAATCTCTAAATCCTATCCACAGGGATGGTCCAAACTCCCCTGTGTACAATTCCTCCATGGGCAGATGGAAATCAAAAACAAATGCTGTGGAACCAGGCAACTCAGGTGACTTCTCTCAAGCTAAAACCCTGTATTTTATATATATATATATATATATATATATATATATAAAATATATACCCTCTGGTATTGCCTTAAAGAGGTGTGTGCAAGAAACACACCAATGGGTCAGCTATGGGCAAAAATGGAGATAGGCTGAAACAGAGAATAAAAAATTGTACCTTGCATACATCCAAGCCACCACAGACTGTAAATTCAGATGCAATATGGAACTGCAGTTTGATGAAGACAAAGGTGAAAAATCATGTTAGCAAAAATAGAAAAATTACATCAAGTGGACCCCAAATGGAGAAAACACCAACTCCCTACATTTTAAATGCACAAAGCAAACTACTGCATGGCCCAGTGTGGTAAAATTAAAGGCTTAGTAAATTGCCCTAGATCTCCTGCTGTTACCTACTGTGGATAGCAGGAGTTACTCACCCTGGGATGTGGGTGATAGGCAAGCTCTAAGGCATCAGGAAATAGCTTGGAAGCCTGAGGCCATTTTCCTCTGGGCTCATTTTTTGTTAAATTAAGAATTCTCACAGAACTGGGAGAAGAAGCCACCACCAACAGAAGCAGAGGGGTTTGATCTCCTTGGAGCTGTAGAGCAAAGACCACCTGCTCTAAGATGCATGAGGAGTAACTAAAGGACCATGAACTGTTCACCAGGTTTGAACCCACCTCAACCAACTACAGCTCTCCTGGTAATGCAACACAAAAGAGGGAGCAGGGGAAAATCGGGTATTTTTATCTATTTCCTGAAAATTCAAGCTATACACCTGGTCTTTGTGTTCCTCTGACGCTCTCCAGGCATTCAGTGTTTGCCTACCACACACCACCTACACACAAATCAAGAACCAAGTACAGAGACACCAAAGTCACCTCACAGAGAATGCAGACAGGTCCAAAAGTGCTGCTCTGTCCTTCACTGGCAACCTGTGAAAGACAAGCACTTGAACTGGACACCAAACCAAACCCAAATCATATTCAGACCTTGCTTCCCCAGAGCTGCAGGCCTCCAGGACAGCTTTTGGAGGGTCAAATTCTATTTTATAAATGCCCAGGTTTTCTCATTTTCTGCTTTATTCTTTGTCTATATATTGCTGGTTAGAGAGCCAGTTGATGGGCTGTAAAACTGCCAGTCTTGTTATTGGTGCTTATAAATGACTTTTGCTCAGCTGGAGCTGGACTTTTGCTCATCTCACTGCCCAGAACTGACATTTTTAATGATTCTGTTCCTCCAGCGCCTTCTCATTGACCACTACAAAAATCCAAACTGTCTCTTGCTCTGCCAAGCTGTTTTGTGGATCAAATTCCTTGTTCTCCAGGGATTTGCAGCATGTCAGCCACCAGAACAAGCAAACTCAATAATAACTGAGCTGAGAACAGCAATTCCAACACTTCTGGGCTCTTCTGCACTATAGATTTTAGCATTAAATGTCAAAATTCTGAAGGCTAGAGGACAGAAGCATCCCCGGAAAAAAGACACAAGTGCAAAGTATTTTAAAAATGGAAAAATGCCAACTGTAAAAGTTTGGTGCTTGGATGTTGTCCCCTCACTCTGTTCTGTGTTGGGTACTGTCACCTTCCTTCAGGTCTCACTCTCCAATGCTGTATCCCAGGTGAAGTAGAACAACTTCCCCTTCCAAACCCTGCTTAATTTACACAATAAGGGAAATTCTTCACATCTCAGCGCTATTTAGGGAAGGAAGAGACACACAGAGTTTTTCTGGGGATGTCCAGCAGTTACAAAGCTGTCCCCAAATTAAAAGAACTGGATTTTCAAAGACAAAAATCACCTAGAGAAAAAAAGGTCTCGAAGAAAAATAGCCTGTGCACCCATCCAGCAGATCTAAGACTTAGCAAGTATTTTACAGCGAGTCTGGTCTCTCCAGGTGATCCAGCAGAACAATGGGAGCAGCTCCTCCAGCTTCCTGACAGCTTTGGGGGATTTCTTGTGTTCTTAACCACCACTTCCTGCTGACACAAGCTGTGTGCTTTTTCCACCTCTCCTGCTCTTCCAAGTACACTCCATAGAGAAGAACATAGGACTAGGAATGGACACAGAGGTAGCCTGATGTGTGCCCATCAATCCAGAGCTGGGAACCAGGGCAGAAATCCTCACCTGGCACAAATGAGGAGGGGAAGGGCTACACTCCTGCAGAAGCATCTGCCATTCCTCACTACTCCCAGGAAATCAGCTCTCTCATCCCCTGGGTTCAGCTCCTTCCATGGCCTTAGCTTATCAGTGTGAGCTCATGCAAGTCCTTGGTTTTCACAGAATCACAGAATGTCTTGGTTTGGAAGGGATCTTAAAGATCATTTAGCTCAAATCTCCTCATCTATTTCCATTTTCTTTGTGCCTCTAAAACATAAATAATTTCCCTTTCTCTTAGGAGTACTGTTGAGCACCAGCACACTGCAGATGGGGAAGGAGCAGTGTCACAGAGCCACTGAGGTCATCAAGACAGGCAAAGAATAAATGGCTCTTTACATAAGTGTGTGCCTGCTGGAATCAGAGGGGTGAGTCACAAGAAGAGAGGCTGATCCCACTGCATCCCCTCCTTTTTTTGTCAGCACAGCACTGCACAAAAGTCCCATCCAATTCCTAAAAATGAACTCAGCTCAGGCACAGCCTCATCCTCTCCCTCATGGATGCTTGCACTGACTGCAACAGCCTAAAAACAAAAGGCAATCCAAACCACTTGGATCTGGTGACTTCCAGAGAGCACCAAAATCCTCGTCTGCCCAGTCCTTCAGGTGCTCAGACCCATCACTCTGATGCTGACCCAACTCACACTTCACAGGGGCTCCTCCAATGTGCGCGGAAGTCAATAAAACATAAGCTGGGGAGAAGAACCCTGCCTTTTACCACATAGTCTGTTTATTCCTTGACTGAAACTTTTGGAAAGCTGCCCTTTCCAGGCTCTGAGGAACAGCATCTGCCCCTGGTCACTGCTTTCTCATCTGCCTGCTGTAGCAGACATGAAATTCCTACCCTGAGCTGGAAATGCAGCTGTGACTCCAGTCCAGACCTGCATAAACCCTGAGCTGAGTGTGACACAGAAGCTCCTCTGTAACCCCAAAGGTCATGGCAAACATTGTCCTGTACAACAGCACCACAAACCTCCTTCACCCAGCTTGCCAAAAACAACCAGACGCCCTTGCAGACTCGGAATTATTCCTCTGCCACAGCTCCTGTGCAGCCTGGTGGGACAGCAGGACATGTGAAACAGGCCTGACACAGCCACCACCCAACAATCCTGTGTTTTTCAAGCAGGATTTAGTGTGACAGGGAGGAATCAGTCCTGCTGCAAACTCAATCTCCCCTCAAAGGCCAACCCTCCCACAGAGTTCTGGAAACACAACCTTTGATTCAATTCAGGAAGCCAACATCACTAAAGCAGGCTGGAAACAGCATCAGAGGAGAACCTCCAGGTTAAATCAGAATTACACAGTCAGGGGAAGCAATAGGAATCACACAGATATATGTAACAGACAACATACAAAAGACTTTGGGTTTTTTTAATTTGATGAGCTTATCAGACTCTAACAGTCAGATATAAAGACCTTCTGTCTAGAAGTGGTTCAGCTTCCACAAAATCACCTGACACGTTCCCACTGCATTTGACTGGGCTTGGCTTGGGAACTGAGTATGCTGGGAAATTACTCCAGAGCCTTTTGCCAAGCTGGACAAGTTCCCTTCTAAGATCAACCTTGTCCCACACCAGTTTTGGTTTGCATCATCACATGGACTTCACATATATAAAGACTGACTCTTGGGTGAAGTAAGTCAGTCCAGTCATTAAACACAGGGCCTGTACAAACAGCAGGATTAAATTGTTTAAAGCTCTATAGAGGCTTTGCAGGTTTGTCTTCACACTGCCAGCACAGGCTACCCTGGCTGGACCATGCACCTCTCAAAATGTCACAAAAGTGGAACTCAGACAAATGCTGCTGCAATAACAAACGAGCTGATGAGCAAATACCCCACTCACTTTGTCCCCACAGGACAAATATCCCTGCACCAACCCATCTTGGGCAAAGGGAACTGAAATTTCCCCAGGAATCTCATCTTAGAAGTAATTTTTTTGTCCATCCCTGGAGCAAGACGACACTAAGCTCTGGGAATGCAGGAGCAGGTTTGGAATATCCATATTCTCCCCAAAATGACAAGTCAGATCACACTGCCTGGGACACATCCCAGTGTCACCAGTAATCACTGGTGAACTGGGTTTCCTCATGAATGGACCTGCTTTGTGTTGAGAGCCAAGCCATGGCTGGTAGGAGGGACTGTCTCACGCAGAGTGAAGAGCAGGACATGTGAAAGGTAAAGGAAGAAGGGGCTTTTCTCTTACCCAGACCCTGGTTCTGCTGCTCCCACTCAATGGTGTCAGGAACCTGGTAGGATACCCCAGCCAGCTGGGCCACAGGGTTTTCCAGGCCAGCCAGGGGCTCCTGGGAGGTCTCTCCTGGAAGCGTGAAGCCTGGCAGCTCCGTGTCACCCTCCATGCTTTCATCCATCAGGTCAATGTCTTTGTCCTCCTCGTCTTCCTCTTCCTCCTCTTCTTCTTCCTCCTCCTCCTCTTCATCCTCTTCCTCTTCCTCACCCTCTGGCCAGGGAGACAGAAAGGGAACATCAGGAACCATCCCACCAGGCAGAAGGTTCACAGATCCCCCTAGGTGAGCTGAGCTCCTCCACAGGCAGAGCAGCTGAACACACTTGTGCTGTTCTCTGACAGCAAAGACACCCACAGGGCTTCGTTTGGAGGAGCTCATCACCACTGGGAGCTGCTGGGGGACAAGGAGATGTTGTCTCAGACCCTCAGATTAGTAGGAAATACAGAAATTTTTGGCTTCCTAGCAGCAGGGTGCAAATAAGGATGTGGATGTGTACCAACACATCTGTAACTGCAGAGCTCGCTGCTCAAGCAGTTACAGCTCAAGTGAGAACTCCTTCCCTGACTGCCACTCTTGGAGGCAGCTCTAAGTAACCCTTAACTCTTACTGAGGCTTTCCCAGCTCTGGAAAGGGCTTGGCTTTCAAGACCAGCTTGCTCCAAGTCCCATCCCACCTGGCCTTGGGAAGTGTTGGAAAGAAGGCAGCACGGCCAACGCTTCACAGGAGAGTTGATATTTTAATTTGAGGAAATTTCTGTGAATTTAGTGCAAGGTCTCCCCACCCACTGAAGGAGGGGGTTGAAACAAAATGATCTTTAAAGTCCCTTTCAACCAAAACCATTCTGTGACTCCATGAATTTTCTGCTACAGCAGAGAGCCATTTATCCCAAAACTGACTGTAACTGTTAACATATGGAAAAATAAATATTTAAGCTGTATTTCATCACTGGAATCTAAAATGGCAACACAGGAACCACTGTACTGGATCAAACCAAAGGTTTTTTCTGTCCACATCCTATTTCCAGCCACAACTGGAAAATTTCAGATGCTGAAGAAGTCTAGAGCAGGGCAAATACAGAGCCAATCTTCCCACATTTTCCCAAGTTACCAAAGTCTCAAGGACATCCTATGCCAGAATTTGCATTGGAGCTATCTAATAGCTACTGATGGAGCCACCCACCATGGAAAGGTAATATCCGGAACAATGGCATGCTTTGAATTTCTCACAGTTAGTTTTTCAAGGCTAAGAATCAAAACATCATATTTATGCACTTTTATGTAATTTACACCAACTCTGCTCAGCCCTGTAGAAAAATTCCCCCCTGGTGCAGTCAGACTGGGAGAGCCCATCACACTGCATCCAGGCATTAAAAACCAACAATCCACCCAAATCACCCTTTGTTATCCAGATATCCCTGTAGTTGTACCTCATACAGGCTGGTGGCAATCCATCCTGGATGAAATGGCCCCCACAGACTGGAATATCATATGAGGTGAGAATATGAGAAATCAGAGCATGTTATAAACCCACTGATCCACTGTGCTGTGCCATGGCATCTCCTTCCCCTGTAACTCAGGGATTTGCTTCCAAACACTGCACGTTTTCCTCAGCTCAGCAGACAAGACAATCCTGGTCACTGCCTTTCAGTCCTAGCCCTGTGTTCCATACAAATGAGCTGCTGTTGGGATTTAGCTGCATCATGCTGCTAGAGCATGCCTTTTGGTACCTGGAAAGATCATTCCTGCCTCAATGACACCACACAGAGCATCTAATGGAGCTCACAGGGATGCAGTTAGCCCCTTAAATTCCCACTGCATTTTACAGGCAGTTTCTGTATTATAATGTGCCTGTCATTTAGAGCTGAGAGCAGAATTTTCTCTGTCAAAATGCATGTTTGCATATAAAACACACAGCTGTGGAGCTGAGAGTGGAGCCTGGAGAGTGCTCACAGGAAACCTGCAAAGAAAAGTTAATGTAGGTCTTTTCCCTCTGCTCAGAGCAAGACAGCTATCAACAATCCCAAAATTTAACAGCAGAGATTCTGAGCAGCCAGAACACCAGAGAAGAGGAACACAAATAGAGCTTTTCCCTAGACTGGGTGGAAAAACCAGCCAAGAGAGAACAGGCATCGGATTTTTATCTCTGTAAAACTACTCTGGGACAAGGGTTTTAGAAGCTTCTCATGATTTTTAGCAATCCAAGTGACACACACCTGCCAGGATCCAGCTCTGAAGCCACAGATAGCCATCTCCCTGTCTCCAAAGCCTCGAAGGCAGCCAAGCTGAACACCCAAATTGAAAGTGCTGAGACTACTTATCACATCTGATGATCACCAAGCTCCATCCATCACCACGCAGCCACAGCAGAAAGCTGTGAATAATGAGATCCCGGCAGCACAGCCGCTACAAGGGGGAAGGAAAAGGCTCCCAAGCTTGTTTCCTTCTCCTCTCTGGCTCATTCCCACAACTGAAAACAGCTTTTTAAGCCCCATCCCGAAATGCCAACAGCTTGCCTTGCTGCAAGGTGCAGCGCAGAGCACCACTTGGTGGTGACAAGGAGGAATCTGCGCTCCCAAAAAATAAACCCCACAAACTTCTCAAGTGTGGGATTTCAGGAGCAGAGGCACAACAGGCAGCCGTGGGCAGGCTGTGCATAAGGCTTGGCAGTCTCAGAAGGTGGAAAATAGAAGTGAGCAGCACACAGCTGAACCTCAAGCTGGAGGTTTGTGCTTCACACAACAGACTTCTACAAAAGTCACATTTCCCCATTTAATCCCCCTCCTGAATTCCCCTCCTTTTGGCCTTCAAAAGACCTCAGCAGCAGATTGAAAGAGAACTATTGGGAAAGACTGAACGTAGCAAGGAGGGAAAGTGCAAAGCCCAGCAGATTCAGAAATAATCCAGAGTTTTATGGGCATTTGCAGCTCAATATGAGCTATTTTTGTGTATCATGGAATGGTTTAGGTTGGAAAAGCCCTCTAGGATTACTGAGTCCAGCTGTTAATCCAGTTAAACCACAGCCCCAAGTGCCACATTCACACATCTTGGAGATCTCTCCAGGGATGGGGACTGGGCAGCCTGGCACAATGCCTGACCATCCTTTTGTTAAAGAAATTTTTCCTGATGTCCAATCTACACAGCCCCTGAGGCAGCTTGAGGCTGTTTTTTCTTGGCCTATCATTTGTTTTTGTAGCTATCAATATGTGTTCCTTGTATCATTGTAGGGGAGGCCCAAGGAAACAAGTCTGAGATAAAATAACAAATTTTAAACAGAGGTTTTGGGGGATTCCAACTTTATTAATAGAAACAGGCAGCACTGGGCTTTATCATGGGACTCTGAGTGGATCCACAAGTGACACAGATGAGATCCAGAGGTTGGGATTTGCTGTTTCAGGGGGGCAAAAGCACCTTGTGCTTGCTCCAAAAGTGAGGTTTTTCACCACAGAACTACACATCCACGAGGACACCTGTGGCTTAGGTGGGAGAAATGAGACCACCTCACACCTCCCTTGTGAGGCACTTCCCTGACCCAGCAGGAACCTACAATCTGTGGAATCTGAAGGAACTGGACAACTCCCAGCATCCAGCAGCTGAAAGCCTCAGACTCAAGTTTTGGGGGTGTGATGGCTTGAAAGCTGTAGCTGAAGCTACTGGGCTCATAACCTTGCTGAAGGTAAATGGGGCTACACCAGGCTTCAGCTGAAGAAAACTTCACTGCAGAATGATGTTTCTACATTTAGATATTTTCCATTAATGTTTGCAAGCACTTGTATTCCTCAGGAGAGCCAGGAAACCATCATTTGTCAGGTTGAACACACAGGAGAAAGTTCTTGCTGTGCCCTGAGCAGCGAGAGGCTCACAGTGGAAGGTGACAGATTCACTCACAGGCACAAACTGAATTCAAAGCACAACAAAAAACAACACAAACTAAAAAGGAAAGAAGTTGCAGGGCAAAACCTGGAGCTGTCATTTGCACTGACCTTTCCCTTCCCAGCCTCCCTCACACCAAACTCAGTTCATAAAGATGTCTAAATGATACCAGAGGACTGCTGTGATCCATGACAGTTTGAGCTGTGATTTTTTTATGTGGTGTTCAGTGCTGCAGTCACCCCTATGTGCTAAAAACACCATGTAAATATGTAAATAATGCTGTGGAAATAACAGGATTAGGGATGGGTGGGGTCCATGACTCCCATCTCTTGCCAGAGCAGGAGGGAGAGAGATTAAGAAGGCTCTGCCAAGTGTTTTCTCCCACTGAGGTAGGTTCACTTTCTGCAGTGCTTTTGTGATCACAGCTGACTGTCAAGGCAGGAAGGCCTTTCTAGGACAACTCTTTCATTATTTATGTGTTGCCTTCACATGCTCAGTCACAATGTCACCATCCAACAGCTCCAAAAGGCTGCCAAGGGCCTCTGAGAGCCTGGAAGGAGAGAGCTGGTAGGAAGGTGGACAGGTTCTCACCAAGGAGTGCTCCTGGAAAAAGTGCTGTGCCACGGTGGGACAACACAGCCAGGCACAGAAACTCTGCCAAACATCAGGGTAAATCCCCCCTGGGGCGAGTTCTGCTAAGCCCAGCCACCTGCACTGCCAAGCCATCCAAGCTATTTGCAGGATGTGGTGTTGTCTTAAATGCTGGGCTCTGGAAAAAATAAATCAATCTCTTGGGAAGTTTCAGCATCTGGGCAATGGCACAGGGAAAGGGACTGCTGGGAGGAATGCACCTCTTGGGTCTGACCCTACCACACAAAGCAGGGTAACATAACCCTACCCACAGAAGCTTCAAGAGAAGAGGAATTTACACATCACAGAATCATTAAGGCTGGAAAAGCTCTCAGATCATCAAGTCCAACCACCCCCCAGCACTGCCAGGGCCACCAGCCCACATCCAAGTGCCACATCCACACATCTCTTAAATCCCTCCAGGGCTGAAGACTCCAGCACTGCCCTGGGCAGCCTGTGCCAGTGCCTGACCACCCCTTCAGTGATTGAATTTTGCCCTAATACCCAATCTGGTGGAACTTAAGTTTGTTTTCTCTTGTCCAAGTTCAAAGATTTCCTGCTAAAACAAAAACAAACTGCATCTACAGCAGCATTCACCTCAAAATTGCTCTCAGACTGAGCCAGGCTAGAGTCAGTTTAGCAGGACAAGACTATTTTAAAGGGGAAAAAAATACCCAAAGCGCTGCAGAATACACTGCATGTGCTATAACAAG